ATATATATATATATACACATATATATATATATACACATATATATATATATACACATATATATATATATATACATATATATATACACATATATATATATATGTATATATATATATATATATACATATATGTATATATATGTATATATACATATATATATATATATGTGGGTGAATTCTTGAAAAAAAATTATTTAAAAAATTTCTCATCTCAATTTCGAAAAATTTCTATAGAATGTTCCTTTTTTTCCGTAAATGATCATTTTCTTTGGCTCCGTTGGACTCATTGCCACATCTACCCTATGTCATCATCTTGCACTGTCTTCATCGGACTCGCTCGTGACCCTTGTATGATAATTCTCATTACTTCTACAAACCCTATCAACCCTTGTCGAACTAGCCCTACATGTTAGAGGTGTAACAGGTTTGACGAGGACCAACGAGATTTGCGAAGGCGATGAGTGGGGCAGAGAGGGATGGCCAGGCGTGGGTTTAGGGTTGTAAGTGATGACTCTCATGCTCTCTCCTTTCTTGCGCAGTGGTCACGAGTAAGGTATGCAAGAGCGAGGTCAATAGAGACAATGACAATCCTCACACAAAGGCTACGAGTACTGATATAGGATGAAAATTACAATTGATTCGATAGAGATAAGGGCAAAATAGCCTTTTCATATAGTCAGGTATGTTATATGAGAATTCTTGAAAGTTATGGTGCTTTGTGAAAAATTCTTAAAGTTAGGAGCTATTTAGAAATTTGCCTTATATATAAAATACTATAATTGATGAAAATAATTCAGTCTTAAGCAACTCTTTTTTTAACCTCTGTTTGCTATTGGTAATACTTTTTTTTTCCTATCAGTAACTCCTTACGTTATACAATCACCTAAAAAATAATAAATATAATTTACTCAATATAACTCTTAAATTATTATTTATATCTTTATTTCTTTGAACTTATCTATAAACTTGCAATATGACATCTTCGGGACATATAACTCGATGTTTTAATTCCTAAAAATATTAAATCAAATTAATAAATATGAAAAAAAAAATATTTCTCATATTTTTCTATTCAATTTTTAGATTGTCTTATTTGATTATCTATCTTTTTTTTGTTGTTTTATATTATTCACGATGAAAAATGCTTAAGTAATTAAGAGGAGTAAAAGAAAGAAAGGAAAGAAGATACAGAAAAATGAGTTATATAAAGTTCGAAGAGTTTGTTAGAATTAAGTGAAAAGCGAGGGCGGGTGAGTGAGACGACTATATGAGAGGTAGAGAGGGGTGGCCAAGCATGGGTTTAAGGTTGCACACAGTGATGACAACAACAGCTCTCATGTTCTCTCCTTCCTCACACGAGGGTCACGAGCAAGACATGTGAGAATGTGGTCAACGGAGACAATGACAGCTCTCACATGAGGGATATAAGTGGTGATGTAGGGTGAAGATTGTAGCAAGTTCAATAGAGGCAGGTGGCATAATAGCATTTTCATGAGAAATATATGAGAATTCTTTAAAGTTAAGACACTTTGTGAAAAATTTTAAAAGATGAGTTTTTATAGAAATCCATCTTACATATAAAATACTATAAATGATAAAAGGAATTTAGTCTTAAGCATCTCTTTTTTTAACCTCTTAAGAGTTTGCTATTACCAATTTTTTTTTTTACTATTGATAACTCCTTACTTCATATTAATTATTAAAAAATAATAAAATATAATTTTACTCAATATAACTTCTTAATTATCAATCATATCTTTATTTTTTAGAATTTATCTATAGATTTAAATATAACCTAAAAGATCTTTCAGACTATTGTAGAAAACATTTAGAATAGCATCTTCTCGACTTATAACTTGATGTCTTAAATCCTAAAGACATTAAATTGATCTAACAAATATGAATTTTTTTTTGTATTTTTCTTTTCAATCTTTATATTATCCTATTTAATTATCTATCTTTTTTTCGTTATTTTAAGTCATTGAGGATGAAAGATTCTTGAGTACTTTGGAGGAGGAAAAAAAAGAAAGAAAAAAATTGAAGAAAAAGGGGTTATATTGAGTTGGAAGAGTTCGTTGGAATTAAGTGAATGTTGAGGATATTTATGTCAACATGCAGAGGATATATTATAAATATTAAAAAAAATTAAAATAAAATTATAAACAAAAAAGGTTTGTCAATAGAAATATCTTTGCTATTTATAGCCTCATTTTAATAATTTTTAATATTTCTAAAATATTATTGTGCAAATATACCTAAACACCTTCAACTTAAAAGCTCATCATTATGGCCATATCATCTTTCATTATCGATGACACAAAATGATATAAAAAATATAATCAAATGAGATGATCTAAAGATCAAAGATTAGGAGGTAAAAAATAATTTTTTTACATTTGATCGATTTAATATTTTTAAGATTTAAAATGTTGGGTTACTTGGATTAGTTTACATGATTTGGAAGATGCCATATTTTGGACTTTTTTTTTCTTTTTTTTTTATTCTTATTATTATTCTTCTTCTCCTAAGCGTTTGCAGTGATCATTAATAACATAAAATGATGCAAACAAGAGATAATCCAACTAGACGATCAAGAAAAAAAAAAAAGTAAAAAATAAAATTTCACGTTTGTTAGATCCATCTAATATTTTTAGAGTTTAAGTTATGGGTTACAGTTCAGATTATGTATTCAAAAAATGATATTCTCAGCGTTTCCATAATAGCCCAAAAGATATTATAATAATCAAGATGTCATATTTCATACCTTTATATAAATGAGTTAAAACAAATAATAATAGAAGGATTTAGAAAATAAAAATATAATTGATAATTAAACGATTGTATTTAATAAAATTATATTATTATTATTATTTTGGTTTGCCAATAACAAAAAGCCGCCAACAGTAATCTGCTCATTATTTTCTTCGAGAAAGGGGGGTTTTTGACCACGTCTTCGATCTCATCCTCCTCTCGATTCCATCACCTCGCCTTCGTCGCACCTTCGGCACCTTCACCCGAGTCGTCGTCACCGGAGAGATGAAGCGAGTTTTTGGGGCCAAGAAGAACAAGGAGCCGCCACCGACGATTCAGGAGGCGACCGATAGGGTCTGGCTTCTCTGATCAACTTCCTCTTCTTCCGCGTCTCTGAAGATCTCTTATCTACAGATTTTTGTTACGCCGGCTGTGATTTGGTTGGATCTTTCTGCCGAATCGTGTGATATCCACGGTCATAAGTCGCTGTTCTTTTAATACGTGCCAGTTTACTAATGTGTCTCGGACTTTGTTCTTTTGGAGTCGATTCATGATGGGATTTAGGATTGCTTGTGTTCGAAAGGGGGATACAGGGACACAGGCTGTGAAATACTGTTAAAAAAAAAAAGTTGAATGTGAGAGTACTTTTTTGTGCGTGAAGGGTAAGTGGGGAGGATTGGGATTAGGGCCTCACCGTTGACAGAAAACTCTTTACCAGTGAAGCTAGCTGAAATCTGAGGTTTGGAACCCTCAACCTTTGGTTGGTGGGTTGGATGGGAGGGTACTAATTTATATTTGTGTAAGTCAGGCTTTATTGACAGCAAAATTTTAGACCTCTAGCTCGTAAAGGTCTTTCGAAGAGTGAGTTCTTTTTTTTTTGTTTTCCAATAATCCAGAACAACATGGTTTAAATTCGGAAAAAGATCTGATATATGACATATTGTAAATGATGATTATTTTCACTTATTTTGCATTTTTTGTTATTTACCTTTACAAACTTTATACTCCTACATTATTATTAGCTTAACGTTTGAAGCTTGAATGTGTCAAGTGTATAAAGAGTCAATTCAATGACTAGTGAGCCAATTTGAGCTAACTTGAGATCGACTAGGATCAGTTGTGATGGTGTCACGAATACCGTCGATGGGCGATCGACCTGATTGGTTTACTGCCGAAGGTGCAGGTCCATCCTCACGTCTCCTCCATGCTGACGTAGGGCTGTTGACGTGGCAAACCAGCGTAAGAGATCCGTGTGAGAGGCCGTTTACCGGGGATGCTCTGGCCATGGAATGGAGAGGCTGGGTAGAGGAACGGGGGTCTTCCTTACTACTGGGTCATCTCCTAGCAGTGGGGTTGCCTCCGGGAAGCAAGGTCGTCTCCTGACCGCTGGTGGTCCTACACAACAAGTCTGTGCCAAGGGTTTCCCGGCTTGACCCCTCCGATGCTTAAGTTAGTGAAAAGTGGAGGAAGAGGAAGATAACAGTATGAATTGTGTAAATGAGAGAGTAGAGAGACTCTTGCCTATTTGGCTCCCTGGCGTTTAGCCTGGGGTGTAGTTTTTATACCTGGGCACCGAGCGGTTCGAACATGCATTACCTTATACGACAGAGACATTAATGAGGGCGGCTTGCTGTCGGTCATTAATGCAAAAGCCTGACTGTCTGGGACACCGAACGGTTTGGACATGCGTTAGCCAAGACCCCCCTACCCTGTATGGCAGAGGCATTAAGAGAAGGCGGCTTGTTGGCGGGATGTGCCATGCCGCCATCCATTAATGCGGGGCAGATTGGGGCGCGCTCATGACGTGGCGTCGTCGGGGAACTGATGACTCAGACTCCTGCTTGGGTGTTTGCTTCCGTGATGGATGAGCTGGAATGGGGCAGGATTATCCCTATCAAGTTGTCAAACTTAAAAATGTTTGATTCTCATCCTGACCTAAAAAATTCTATATTTCACTCGGTTGTAGGAGCCAACATTTTGTGAATGGCTCGAGTTTCATTCTCACTTTAAAGGCTCTGTAATCTCAGATAGCGTATGTAATTCATGCATGCCTTGCTCTCCTGACAGACTTGTATTACTTGCTTGTATGTAGGCAAATGTTCCCTTGATCAAGCTTTGGAAATTCTTGGATGTGAATCTAATCTACCTTGTAGTGTATTATATTTATTAGTCATGCTGAATGGAGATTTGAGGAATGTTATGTCTTGTACTTTCTGTTATACTCAACTAGTAATAAGTGTTTTTCAGATAAATAAAAGGGGAGAAACAGTTGATGAGAAAATCAAGAAACTTGATGCTGAATTAGCTAGATACAAGGAGCAGATCAAGAAGACACGACCTGGTCCTGCTCAAGAAGCTGTCAAAGCCCGAGCAATGAGGGTTCTTAAGCAAAAGAGGATGTAGGTTCCCTCTGCTTTATTGTTTCTCATCTAAATAAGAAGCTTGTTTGACATAAGTTAATTGGTTGCACTTATAATATTAGATTATACTGTTCATAATTAAGTTTGGCTCTACTATCCTCCAAGAAAAGCATCTGCATCATGTATATGCAAGTCAATATCATGTTGAAGGTTTGCTGATTTTTCCTAATATGCTTAGTGTTTGTTATATGGATAGATGTGGTGTTTGTTGTCTGGCATTACTATTCTTCAGCATCCTTTTAAAGAGCATCTAACAGTTGAGGGTTAATGATCCCTAGCTTTGGTATCTTTCCTTGCATGCATTAGAGAAGTAACTTCTGTATGTTGGCTTTGGTTTGTGTACCCTCTGCTGTCAACATGAGTCTGATTTTTGGGTTTCATAGATCTACCTCAATCCACTCTATCCTTGTGTAATTTGATCTCTGTAGACTTGACCGTTTACAGTTTATTTAGCATTACATTGCCAAAGAATTAGGTGCCTCATCCTATGTTGAGGTGAAATTTCATAGGATATGTGCTGCAACTCATATTTGCCCTTGCCAGCTTGTGTCTGCATGGCACCTGTAACCTGATGTAACAATTAAAGTATTTGATAGATAAGTTGTGTACCAATGCATTAGACTTATTAATAGACATCTACAACAAAAAATAGTAGAGAGCCAGTGCATGAATATTTAATTAGTGCAGTATCAGTCTTAACCTTACAACCAATAGAGGCCATCTGCATTATTCGAACTCTGGTCCGCTAGGTTGCACAGTATCAACCTTATGTGGCACAAAGGATGATCACCCTCTATTTGTAATTTACTTGCAAAAGTAAAAGAAAGACATATGATGTTATATTGGTTATATTCCATAAAATCTGATGATATCAGACAAATCTGATGGCCAACTGGAGAATGGAGGTTACTTATGATTTTAACTGCCAATTTCACTGATTATAATTCACTAAAGTCTATTTTTTCATAGTATACACACATAAAGATTTTTCAATTTTCCCAAATTTTCTATGTTTGTTGGCTCTTCAAATCTCTTTCTGTATAATCATGTTATATATGCCTTTTATGTTAGAAAGTTCTTTCCTTCTCTTTATGATGTTCCTTGATTTAAGAAAAGTTACTTCTTATTGAGCCGTTCAGTTTTTGTCATATGTATCTACCCGGTTGACTTTTAGCACTCTATGCTGAAGTGTCATTTTTACTATTTGATGTGCTCATTTTTGCTGGACTTATTGTATTATTATGTGTTCATTTAAGATCCATTTTAGTGACATGATTTCCTTTAGAAGCAGTGGCTTGGCCCCTTTTACAAACTTGTTTTGAACCATAACATTGTGACATGCAGCTTTCTGTTGTCTGGAAGCTGTTGTCATTAGATAATATGAGTATACTGGAGAAAACTCTTGTAGATTCACTGTGATGATCTCGTTTTGTCATTTTATTAGCTGACAGTCTGGCGGTACTTGTTTGTCCCAGTTGTAGTGTCACCAGTGACTGCTGCAGCATTATGTATATGGTGTTAAAGAGCAATTTTTTGTTGGATTCGGTTCTATGTTGTTATATATAGAGTTATAAATGACTGCATACTGAATAATGGATGTGCTTTACCCTTATATTTAACAAGTAACCCTTTAAGGGTGCAAGATGACATTTTCAAAACAAAAGATATATAGATTTCTTTCTCAAACGGTTATAAAATAAAATTTTCTCCTTTCATCTGAGTGTAGCAAAAGTAGAAAATCAGAGGGCTAGTCCCCTCTTCAAATTTTGTTAGTTTTGTGAGTTTTAGCATAGTTTTCCAACCAGTTCACAACATCATTACCATCCCTATGTACATGCATAATCTTAAATGTTCGGCAAAATTCCCTGTGTCCAAAAGTATCTCTGGTTGCATTTAAAGTATTTCAAGGAGGTGACTTTCCCCATTTAAAATGTTAACTAAAGCTTCTAAAATCAGACTCCCCATCTAGTTTTTGCACCCCCTACCCTAGAGCAGATTCCGAGCCTTCCCTAATAGAAGCTACATCATAGTAATACATTATACTGTTTGGTATGGACTTGTGACCAGACAAGCATTCACCATTATGATCTTTAATAGTAAATTCAAAATCCCCTTCTTGGAGTTGATTCCAAGACCCACAATAGTTAAGTTTGTGCTAGTCCAACTGAGGTTTTCCCACTTAACCGGTATATGACATATCTCAAGCAGTCCTTCAGATGAATAATGCTTCTGTTTGGTCGTATTATATGATCTTGTAAAATATAAGACCTGGACTGGGTTTTGAGCCATTATGTAAACCATCATTTTGTGTTTTCCACCTCAACCATTGAGAAGTAGCAATGTATACCCTTCAGGATCAGCGAAGCTTCAATAGATTCATCATTTTCTTACTTGAGCCACAACCCATCATGCCAATTACAAACAATCTAAATGTAATGCTCAAAGTTTTTGGATCATTATGGAGAAAAAGCTTTAGAAGAAAAGATGAGTAATCGACTCTAACTCACTATCACAGTGGGGACAAAAGCAAGTGTTACTAATACATAGATTAACCAATCTATCTGAGGCACAGGAGGTTTCAGCAAAAAAAAAAAAAATTGACATTGCGGACAATAGGAAGTTTCCACAAAATTCCCGTCGCCATCTCTATTCATCATGGGTTCAAAATTATCGGTCTGTAAGAAATAATAGGCTGACTTAGCCGAAGCATGTTCATTCTATAAGGATATTTAAGTATGTTGATTCTAAGGAAAGGATTCTATCAGACAATATAGGACCAAAGAGCTGTAAATTTTGATGAGCCAAACAACAATTTTGAAATGCTGGTCAATATTTCCCTTTCAATGCTTTCAATGTTTTATGGCTGCGTGTAGAAGTCCATATTTATTTGCTGATTGACAAAACTTGCCTTTTTCCCAGGTATGAGGGACAGCGTGACATGATGTATAACCAGACATTCAACCTCGACCAAGTTGCCTTTGCTACAGAGGGACTTAAAGATGCTCAACAGACAGTATGTTCTACAAGTTTCTATCAAAAAATTGTTGTATAAGAATACTTTTCTTTACTAATACACGTATATATCATTGACCTTTTTAGATGTCAGCACTGAAGTCTGCAAACAAGGAGTTGAAAGGGGTGATGAAAACTGTGAATATTTCAGATATAGATGTATGTTGCTTTTATCATTGTATAGCATTTACTAAAGAGCTTTACTTATTTTATCAAGTCAGTTTAGTGTAAGTTATCAATATGCAGTAGTTGGTACTTTTGATATCTGAAGTCATTCAATATACAGAGTATGCAAGACGAGATGCTTGATATGATGGATATTAGTACAGAAATCCAAGAATCACTTGGAAGAAGCTACAATGTCCCTGATGACATTGATGAGGAAGAACTATTTGGTGGTATGATGTTATGATAAAGATTTTATGAGTTGGTTTTTTCTCTCTCAGATGTCAACTAGTTGTGTCACTTTATACAAAATGTTGTTACTTCAGCATTAATCTTTATGTGATTTATTATTACCATTTTTTATTTTTGGTTTGAATAATCAATGCAGAGCTTGATGCTTTGGAAGCTGACATGGGAGCAGAGATTGAATCTGATGCAGTTCCATCTTATCTTCAACCAGATAAGGAATCTGACCTGGATTCAGAACTCAACTTACCTGCAGCTCCAACAGGCAATGCTGCAGCAGTACACAACAGAGTCAATCCCCAGGTATATCTGTCTACTACATACTGATAATAAATCGTGGAACAAAATGCATATACATCAGATAGGGGTGATATCTGCTAGGAAAATTTGTAAGAATTGTGAACCTTTAGCATCTAGCATGTCATGAATATTGGAAAAAAAATGTCAATAGTACACTCCAAGAATATGTATGTATGTATGTATGTATGTATGTATGTATGTATGTAATATAAAGTTTGGATATGCTAACCCATATAGACACAAATAAAAAGATTACGCAGGATCTGGCAGGCTCATACTCGAGGCAAACGGAAGAATGGAAACAGATTTCCACATCCACTTCCCTATATTTAGATTAACTAAACTCTTGGATATATTTTCTATTTTTTCGGGCATTTAAATGACATGTTGGGCATATATTTAGATTAACCATCTTAGATAGTTCAGGCCTGTCAACAACAAACGATTTCCAAGTACCAAATCCTAATCCTTCTGTATCATTTGAACTTAAAACCGTCTTCCTGCCTATGGATACACCCTAAATTTAGTTGGATGGTAGGCAAATCTCTGTACTACCTTTTTTTTCTGGATAGATGAATATGAGATCATTGTTAATGAGTGTGATATTCAATTATCTTGTTTGCTTTGAAGTTTGGCCTGCATAGATGGTTTATGATATTTGGAAGGAAATAACTTGAAGATTTTCCTAATCCAGTTCAAACTTAGTTAGAAGACCCTTTCTTTGGTTAGCCCAAACCAGTAGCATGCAGCATCAGGAAGATTGTGACCGAGATGCTTCTCTTTTCCTTACTACAAAGCTGGTATTAGCCTCTGTCTAAGTGTGTACAATTTTGAGACTCTCGAGCTCGGTTAAGGTGCAGTGACTGTTGTTGAGGCCTCCATTGCCATGTTACTGAGTCGCCATAGTAAATGTCTCCTTCAGTCCATAGCTGTTGCACATGCAGGGTGTCAATGGCATAAAGGACAAAGGGCCTAAACTTAATTTACCATAGAAGAGTAGAAAATTTCATCTTATCAGGATATTTGCATCTTTTAGTGTCTGGGATTGGCTTGGTGATTATGACAAGTACTATCCTTCTCATAGTGCCATGGCTCGATGATTTTTACTGATGATCACAAGATACTGTGTTCATATAAGGTCGTCGGTACTCAAAGTTTGAGCTGGTCTCTCAAGTTATTCATTGCATTTCCTTTTGGTGCTTTTTGAGTGGTTGGGATCTCCTTGACATGCATCCTTGCAGACTGGCCTTCTGTGACTCGGTTACTATGAATGTGCAATATTTGTAGCCTGGTCATTGAGTTTTCACGGTCTGAGCTTATGACAACTACTTATTGCTTTGTACATTACTTAGTGTCCATTGAAGTATCAAGTTCTCACAGCGTTCTCAGAAACAAATATCATGTAATCATTTATATTGGGCTTTTTGTAGGCTGCTTGCCATCTGTCATAAGATCGTAATTGGCTGAAACTTATTTTGTTCTGAACAGGATGATCTAGGCTTGCCTGCTGTGCCCCAAGCATCATTACGCAATTAGAGTAGTTGTCACCAGGATTGGCAGATGGAACTACTATTCTCACGTGCGGTGTTCATGTTCACAAACACGATAATGTACTCCAGGATTGGTAGATGCAACTACTATTCTCATGTGCTATTTATTTGATACTGATGTAAACTATTTTAAAATATGAGGATCATTGTGAGCATGACTTGTGATATGTTACAGGCGTGTGGACCAGTTTATGCCAAAGCTTTAGTGGTTCTGTCGGACACGTTGGGAAACCGTGGCAAAACGAGAGATTCTAGGTGCCTCCCTGGAAACATTAAATAAATATTGACGAGTGTTTTTTTTTTAATGTAGATTAGCCTCTGAAGAAAACGATAAATTTCATCATATTTTCTAGAATTAAAATGTAATTGACAATCTGATTGCTATTCATGTCTTTAATTAGAATTAATGATTTGATGTTTCTCATTTTCAAGTAGCTCAATTTAAATGATTAAATTTAACGAGTCTAAAGATTATGGTTGAGGATTAAAATTTGAATGCTCTTCGTATGCATGATGAAGTGTTGTTATCTCCTTGAGTGTTCAAAATTTTCATTATCCCAATTTCGATCAAAATTTCAGAAAAATACTACCTCTGTAAATTTTATTTCCATATATATATATATATATATTTATGATTGAATATTTTTTTTAAGATAGAATATTTTTTGATGAGAGAACATTATAAGAAGGAGAATCTCTGTGAGTACAGAACAAATTATGATCGAATAGTTTATTTATTTCTCAAGCTTTATTGACTTCAGAAGTCTTACATAGAATAGCTTGTGCTTTTTGCACGAAAATATTCAAGAGGAACAATATATATCGAGACTATAAGGTTAAGATCTTGTTGATCTCGAGTTCAGGATACTGAAAGAATAGACTATGTCGATTTAATACTACAGTCGACGATCAAAATCAATATTGCCACAATCTTTAACTTAATAGTAGAATGAGTTCACAGTCAAAACGGATATTAACACAATCCGAATACTTCTACTCACAATCTTATTCGGGCGAATTCGATCAATGTTCATATCACAATCTCGTCAATGTTGTAAGATCTCTTGTTTCTCCTCAATCTGAGGAGGAGTTGGTTGAACCTTCAGATATATCCAGGATGATTTTTATTTTTATTTTCAGGAAAAAAAAACACAATCCGAATTAACCCAAATTAAACAGATCGGATGGATGTTACCAAATGATCAGATCCGCTACCAATCCGATCGAATCGAGGGTTGATGATAGGCGGACTTGATCGAACCTGTCACACCAAACCCCGGCCCGTCTCAAATCCGAGTTGGAGACGGCGAGCCGCAGCACCCAAGAGGACGGATGGGTCGTTAGGGCTACAGAACCCAAGCAATGGCGCTCGCGAAGGCTAAGGAGATCGTTTCCTCCGCCCCCGTCGTCGTCTTCAGGTGCCTTTCCCGCTCTTCTCCTTCATCTTCTCTTGTTATTCTATCGATCTCCTTTGTCAATTGATCTCTAGGGCCCCAATCTTGGGTTTGTTTCGCTCCGATTTTGGACGTTTTCTCTTCGTTGGAGATAGTCAATCTTCCGGGAATGCTCCGGTCGTGATCGGTTAGGGTCTGTTGAACCGATTGATGAAGACGATGGGTTGGGGTGCTTCAGCTATGTGGGGAATGCTAAAGAGGGAGAGAGTTCTTGAGCGCTGAATAGAGTTAGTTGGTGACAAGTATCGGATTTTGTCTGCCTTTTCCGGGGGTTTTGTATTTGCTTTTCTCTTCGTTTTATTGTGTGGAGAATAACGGATTTTTTGTTACTTTAACGAAGTGGAGGAGACGGTGATGTTGGAATACTTGTGCTTATTGACTGATGCATCCATATGAATCCATCTTGTGGTGGAAATGGACGATGCATTGTTTAGTGACTCGTTAAGTGCTTATTTGTACCAAAAGCAATCATCTTGGACAAGTTGATAGTAAGCTGTTCTTTTTCTTTCATTGGTTATGACTGTCTCAATTATGGATGAGTATTTAAATTTAGCTGAGTAAGAGTTAGAGACACTGAAAACTTTTAGGTTCGTACGTGGACATTGTGCAGCCATCTGAAGGGTAAGGCAAACACATCAATGTCTATTGCCAAAGCTAGAAGACTTCTGGTTCATCGAAGTGATTGGCACAAGAAAGTTAATTTGAACTCATGATGCAACGGGTGTTAGGGTTTAATTACTTCCTTTCTTTGAGGGAAAAATCTTATAGCTGGTTACTTGCACATTGGAAAAAACTCATTGATAAGAATCCTGATTCGATTTTTGGTTCTTTTTCTAAGGTTCAGATTTTTTTTTATCCCATCCATTTTATGGCCCTAAGCTCGAGGGTTAGTGTTCTCAAGCTCCCTAGTCTTCGTTGCTTTCCATGGTGAACAATTGGGTCATGTTGTTTATTTTAGACATCCTCATATGGAATCAATGTAAGTAGAGTTTTTATATTGTAGGCCCATGGCTCATCTTTATGCTAGCAACGGGACATGATTTTGGCCAAATAGTTTGAAGATTCAATCCCTTTGTAGAGATTGTTTTTTTTTCTTGTTTTCTTAGCTTTTTTGTTTAGTTTTCTATGGATAAGATATGAGATCCTGTTAATTTGTACTGGAGAGAGGTTACCATGGTTCATGATCTTGTCACATGTGTGCAAAAGTATTTACAATTCATAGTAGAATATGAGACCTCTTTAATGGCTTGACAAGCTGATCTAGGGCCAAAGAGTCTATGATTAAGCCCAGGCTGATGAGATATGCTTAAATTGGGTCACACCATGACACTGTACATACTTTATTGAAGAAACCAGATCTATGTGGCTCTGAATAAGTCAGATGAATAAATGGAAAATCACAACATAAACACTCAGTAGGTCTAGCATAAGAAGAATTTACTTTAAAGGGTTTCTCCATCTGATTTTCACATATTTTTTAGATTTTAGTTCTGATTCATAAACTGAACCAGTTTGATTCAGTTAATAGGGGACCGATGACAATGGTCTTGCTCCTTTTGTTGCAGCATCTGACTTTTTGACTAGTTTCTCCGACTGATGTTTGAACATCATCAGTAGATTTGAAAAAAAAATTGAGCTATGGAATCATTGTGGTCTAGCATTCGGTCATTTTGAGGAGATGAGTTATTAGATATTAACTGATTTTATACAGCCTTAGTCGGATTAAGCAATTTATATTGACGTGGAACCAATCTTATCTATCTCTTATTCAAATAAATTTGATTGGTTTAGAGGTTATTTAGCATATCATAAGTTGTCACAGGACAACATACTGAATAATTCTGATTGAGTTTCCTAGTTTACTGTAGGAAGAAGAAAAATGTGGAAAGAATTTGAGAACAATCATATTATGATTGTAATTGAAGATTCCAAATCCTAATGGAAGATTTTATGAAGATTGATATCAATTAAAGACATTATCTTCTTTGAAGGAAAAAAATCAAATTATATTTTTGATTTGATGCAATTGTAAATTTTTTATTTTTTTATTTTTCATTTTTATTCTTGTACTTGGCCTATAAAAAGGGGCTAGAATATTGTAATGCATCAATGAGAGACGAATCAATGAATCGTGTTCTTTTCCCACCTTGTGTGTGAGTGTTGCGAGGCTATAAGTTATTTTCCCGATGGCATGATCCCATAGTCCGGATGAGAGACATGCAGAGGTGCGAGACCTTCATCCTGGGAGTGTTCTCCTTGAGCCAGAGCGAGTCTGATAGTTATCCATTTGTTTTTCTATTATCTTTCAGTTACTATCATCTATTCTTCTCTTTTATGTTCCTCTATTATCAAAAAAATATTCTGCTGCTCTCGTCCTACATCACATATGGTATTCTAAGCTTTAAAATTAGGTTGACTTGGAGGTTTGGTAATTTAAATTTGATTTCTATTGTAACAGGTCTTGCTTTTATAATTTTAATTCTTTTTTGCAGAGGAAGATGTTCCTAATTTCTTAAATGTTAGCTATCTCAAATTTTCTACTATATTTCATCTTTCATACTTGTATTTGGAAGAAAAATGATGTTACCTTTTTAAGAGTTCTTAACCTTACACCAATGATTTGTATGTGGAACCTATTATTATGTTGCTTCATGGTGTCCTTTCTAGCAGTAAATGAAGCACTTGCTAAAGGTTTTAGAGTTTTAGTCCTGTAGACAAAATAAAGGTTAAAAACCACCGAAGAGAGCAATTATTTTTTATCCTCTTCTCACCTCCTTTATTTTTTTTTTCTGCTTGATTTTATATAAAGGATCAGGGAACTAGATACTCTATACATTAGAATGTTTTGAACTTCTAATTTTCAAATGTCGTGACTCAGACACGCATGATCCTCAACATGTTTTTCTATTGAAGTGATACTTAGAGTGATCATTAAGTGGTTGTATTTTATCTTCATTGTTGGGTTAATTATTATCACAGTTTAAACAAATTAATTTATTTGCATTTTCTTGGTTTGTACTCTCTTCTCTGTAGTTGTCTATATGTGATATTGAATGCCATAACATGCAATTCATGTTACAAACAGTAACCTAATTCATAGCTCTTATCTATCTTTGCCAAGAACCTTTTAGAAAATTGAACCAAATCTTTGTCAGTCTATTCCCATTGCTCTTGTTGAAAGTTCCATATGAGTTGTTAGCTATGGTGTTAGATGTTAACTATATAAGTTGTCAACATCAGTGTACAAATTTATACCTCCAAGTTACTGTGAACGAAATAAATTATTGTACCATGTTAGACTGGAGGCTGATTCATTATCAAGATTTAAATTTCTATTCAGTTGGATGTCCTATTATGTCTCTGTCTGGGCTTATTTTAGGGATGACCATATATTATAATTTTAATAACTGTCTCTTTGCTAATTTACTTCACAGGTATTACATACTCTCTTGAAAATGAATAGTTTTGATTGTTTGTAAGTTAGTTGTCAAGTTTATTTAAGCAAAGATTTTATTTCTGATACAAGTTGTAAAGTCCCAAGTATTTGAGGTTGTCTGCATCTAAAGAATTGCTTAAAGCAACCAGACACTCTATATTTTTGTTCTCTGTGGTCTCATGATAATATATTGCCCCTTTATTTTTGTCCTTTATATTCATTATTGTTCTATTGGTAACTTAGTAATTGGCAAAGTGGGGAAATTAAACATGGTCATTGGGAAGAAGCTTGAGCCACTATTTT